TCTGCTTAATGGTTAGCCTGCCCCTGCTTCTGAGCACGTGCAGAATAATTTCCCCATTTGAAACAGCATTGATTTTTTTTAAAAAAAGACCCTAAAGACGCTGTGCCCTGACCCGGATGGCCCAGGCTAGCTCCATCTTGTCAGATCTCGGAAGGCCAGCAAGGTCAGCCCTGTGTAGTATTTGGATGGGAGACCTCCAAGGAAGCCCAGGGTCGCTATGCAGAGGCAGGCCATGGAAAACCATCTCTGAATGTCTCTGGCCTTGGAAACCTTACGGGCTTGCCGCAAGTTGGCTGTGACTTGACGGCATTTTCTACCACTAAAGACACTGGGCGCTCACCGACAAGCTAAATAGTCCCGTTTCAGTCCCCTTCAGCGACAACTTTCAGGTGGATCTTGCCGCTTCCACACACTCAGAGGTCCAGTTGCAACGGTGCTGAAAGTGGATCGGAAGTGCCTCATTTAGTGTGTGTGGAAGCACCCAACTGTGTCTCAGAATTAAGTGAGGAGAAAGTATGGCTGATTTTGCACTAGAGCTGCCTCGTTGTTGCGCCGCCGTTTGCCCCGAAACGATCGGTCAATTTCACACCCGAAGCCGCGGGGCTGCATGTTGACCCGCGGCTTCGCCCGATTTCCTCCGCAGTTTCGTGATCCTCAAAAAACAGATCGAGCCACTTTGTCATGCGGTGTCGAGCCACTTCCGGTTTAAACCCCCTCCCCGCTTGAAAGCTGCCCGAGGCTTCTGCTTTTCGCCCGTCATTTTTTAAAAAGCGTTGGCGGTGTGCGCATAAGCGGAGGTCATTGTGTTTTTAAAAACAATGTTTAAACGGTGCCTAGTTTTCGCGTTTAGACGAGTTTGGGAAGTGTTACAGCAGTCGGGTTGAAGTGGAAATCGCTGTTCTGTGCACACACGAAAATTTTAGCTCTACAGATGGTTGCCTGTGCGCATGCCCAAACTAAGAGAGAAAAAAACAACACTGACGCATGCTCCTGCCTGTGGATGGCAGGGAGCAATATGGCTGCACAGCGATCCGGAGCAAGGAGGGGAGTGTGATTGCGATTCTCCAGGTTAAAAAAGACCGCATCAGGGCCGGAGCAATTTAAACTGCTCCCAGCACGCCATCTGACCGCACCCTGTATGTACTTGACAAGAATGTTATAATAGCACACTATACACTTTATAGAATGACTAGGAAAAAGGCCCATTGTGGAAATAAATACAACGAGCTCTAGAAAGAGGCTCTGGGTGGGTGCCCCGGCCTTGGACACTCAGAGTCAATTTGCTATGGCGACCTCAGCAGGGTATAATGACACTCAGTCCACCATTTTCTCCAGAGGAACTGATCTCTGCTACCTAAAGAACAGTTGTAATTTTGAGTGATCTCCAGCCCTCACCTGGAGATTGGCAAGGATGGTTCTCCATAAGGGAATGGTTGGCTTGGAGGGTGGAGTTTACGGCTTTGTACCTGTCCAAGGCCCCACACCTCCTGAAACCTCACCCTCTCCAGGCTCCATCCCTCACATCTCCAGGAATTTCCCACCTGGAGTTGGCAACCCTATTTCCTTCCCAGCCAATCATCCACCTACCTTTATTTCCCCCTCACTCTTCAGCTTTCCACCCCCCACACACCTGCAGCCTCTCCCATGCTCTGAAGCCCTTACTGCTACGTCACATTGGCTGTCATACGGGGGCCACCTCAGCAGCTTATAAGGAGCCCACCATTTTCTCCAGGGGAACTGATCTCTGCCATCTGGAAAGCAGTTGTAATTCTGAGTGATCTCCAGCCCTGGAGATTGGACACATTTTACCTCAGAACAGCAAATTGTTTAGAATGTTAAGAGGCAAAAGCCAATCAAGTTGCATATGCAAACGACCTCTGTGTTCTGAGGCAAAGGCCAATGAGGCTGCATATGCAAATAATCTCTGTGTTCTGACTGGCTATGGGGGGGAGAGGAACAGCAAACTGTTTATGTTGGAGGCGAGACTCAAGCAATGCAGCCAGTGGATAGGGACAGATTCAGAGTGACACACCAGGGCGCCAACCAATTTCGGAGCGTGTGGAATGTTCTAGAGAAGTGCCACCACCATTCGGCTTTTATATATAAGGGAGATAGTTATAAATAGAACACGTTAATTTACAAAAGTTTCTTGCAGTGCATATTTATTCGTTACTTGACCCATCTGGACGTTGGCAACCAGGGCCGGTTCTAAGTTCTGAGGGATCCTGGGCAGCGTTCCCAGGGCCTCCCCTCTTCTACCCCCTCAAGCCCCACACACCCTCCTTTCCTCCCCCCCCCACTCATATGCCTCCCACCTGCCTGTGTGTTTCTTCCAACTGCCCGCACTCACCATGGTCTGCCGCCCTTTCCCCAGTAGCAGTGGGCAGTGTGTGTAGTTGGGGACACGGCGGAGCAAATAAATGAGTGGGGTGTCAACGGCAGCAGGCCCCTGCCAGAGGCCCTGGGCCCTGTTGGCTGCCCCACTTCAAGTTATGCTAGGGCTCCCAGCTCCAGGTTGGGAAATACTTTTGGATTTTGGGGGTGGAGCCTGAGGAGGGGTTGAGGAGGGGAGGATCGTCAGTGGGGTAGAATGCCACAGAACCCATCTTCCAAGGCGGCCATTTTTTCTAGGGGAACTTATCTCTGTCACCTGGAAATCGGTTGTCATCACAGGAGATCTCCAGGCCCCACCTGGAGTATGGCAGCCAGACTACTCCTGCAAGGTGTGGCGAAAGGAAGCTGGGGGAGAGAGAGGGCCTGGGATGAGCTAGAACCCCCTACCACCCCCTCTCGGAGGCTCAGCTCAAGCCAGGCCAAGAAGAAGGGGATTCTGGGAAGGTACTATGTGGCCTCAGATTCTGACCTGCCTCTCAGGGCGTCTGACAGGCCTCCCCACCTTCTTTGCAACAAATGTAAAGCCATCCCAGAAAATTAGGGTTCCCAGCTCTGGGTTGGGAAATACCTGGCGATTTGGTGGTGGAGCCTGAGGAGGGCGGGGTTTGGGGAGGGGAGGGGCTTCCGTGGGGTACAATGCAATAGAGTCCACCTTCCAAAGCGGCCATTTTCTCCAAGGGGGAACTGACAGGGCCGGCTCACCCATTAGGCGAACTAGGCATTCGCCTAGAGCGCCGGGCCCTGGATGGGGCGCCAAGCTGTGCCTCCCCCCCTCCTCTGGTAGCAAAAGGGTGGCTGGCTCCAGAGGTCTCCAGATCTCCAGGCCCCACCGGGAGGTTGGCATCTGCGCCACAAGGCAGCCTTGCCTAGGGCGCAGAAACACCTCAAGCCCCTGGGAACTGATCTCTGTCACCTGGGGATCGGTTGTAATCCCAGGAGACCTCTAGCCACTGCCTGCAGGTTGAAGCCAAAAGTGAGAGATCATGGGAGGAGATGGAAGTCCAAACAAAATGTCAGTGACAAGAATAACGAAGAGTCAATAAAGATATACATGCAAAATTGTTTACTATCTCTCCCTTATAATAATTGAGTAAGACGCAGAGGCACGCAAATGCGCACCTACAGTGTTTGGATGAATGCCCTGTCTGTCAGCACGTTCCCTGGAGTCCATTGGACATCTCGCCTAACACCCACCTCGGAGCACTCCCTCCCCAAGACGCAGAGGCACGCAAATGCGCACCTACAGTATGTGGATGAATGCCCTGTCCGTCAGCACCTTCCCCGGCGTCCATTGGACGTCGCGCCTAACTCACACCTTGGAGCACTCCCCCCCACTAGCTAAGGCGGCCGGGAAGAGGCTTGCAGCGTCCACCTTCCCTGTGCCGCCAAGCCCTGCGCCACGGTAACTGCGGCCACTTCTCCGGGGGGGGACCGGGCCCCGCCCCGCCGCCCTCGCTTCGCCGTCTGAGTCGGCCGCCGCTATGCGCGGCCGGGGGCTGGGTGGGTGGGCGGCCGGGGAGGAGCTAGGGCCTCAGGGGATCCCCATTGCCGCGTGCGCAAGGCGAGCGACGGCGCGCTCCAGTGACACGCAGTGGGAAGTCCCCCCAAGACCACCGCCTGCCTCCCTCGGGGGCCAGGCGAGCCCCCCACGATCGCTGCCACCGACCTCAACCGCCGCTGCTCCCTCGCCTTTCGAGGCGGTGGCGGACACAGCCCCTTCCTGCCTGCCTTGCCTCGGCTGCGAGGAGCTCCCGTTTCGCCGGACACCCGCCCTCTCCACGTCTGGCCTGGACCGCGCGCCGACAGGACACGACCCGCTGAGGTTAGCCTCCCCATGCCTTTCGCTTCTCGGCGGCACCGCTGTAAAAGGTTATTCGCCTGCGCGAGCCAGGCCCACACTCTGGGACGCCTGTGACGGGGGGTGGAAGGGGGTGCCCCGGCGACGCGCGGACCCAGACCACCCACACACACCCGCTAGCGCCCGTTGTATTCATACCTGCAACGGACCTTTCTCCTAGTAATAATTATAATCCTGTGGGAAACTCTTCTTTTATCGCTCACATGCAACGAATTTTGCGCAATAAAAATATCCGTTTCACAAGGATTGCTTTATCTGAGCATGTAGTGATTACAATTCTTATCAATTTCCACTTATCAACTCTCGAAATAAACATCCCATGTTGACTCTCTGGATTTTGCTCTGTGTCTCTGGCAGTCGACTGCCCTGAATTCTGTAGGCATTAAATTTCGGGGCGAAGGCATAAAGACCTTGTGAAGACCTTGGGTTCTGGTATCAGAGAGTCAACATGGGATGTTTATTTCGAGAGTTGATAAGTGGAAATTGATAAGAATTGTAATCACTACATGCTCAGATAAAGCAATCCTTGTGAAACGGATATTTTATTGCGCAGAATTTGTTGCGTGTGAGCGATAAAAGAGAGTTTCCCACAGAATTATAATTATTATAGTAAACAATTTTGCATATATATCTTTATCGACTCTTCGTTATTTTTGTCACGGATGCTTTGTTTGGACTTCCACTGCCTGCAGGTTGACAGCCGTAGGGTATGCCGACGCCAGCCCTGTTTGGCACCCTTTTGTCCTACCTGGGCGGATGTATTTCGCGCTCTCTGTGGCAGACAGCGGGAGGACAGTGGGCCTCTGGTTCTTTCTCCTCATGGCTTCCATTTCGAGGAACTGTTTTGTGATGTAGATGTTGTCAAAGCTGTCCTCATGCAAGTAACACTTCCGGTAGAGCAGAGCCCTGTGGGAGACAGACAAGCCCACCAATTTTTCAGGAGCAAAGATCGACAAAGGGGTGGGGGTTTTTTTTGGTAACACTCCAATACTCCTCTCAAGAATCATCTTTCCCCATTCGGCCCACTGTTATATATTCCTGCAGGCTCGAGCCTCTCGGTTGTCCGCTTTCTCTGCGCCTTTGATTTCCTGAAAAGATTTTTATCCTGCCTTTTGATTCCTGGGGGTGCCTCACAATAGGCTTTCTGCGGCTTTCGAATGAAAACCTTTTCATACGCAGCGACAAAAGGGAACGCAGCGGCACGTCCGAGCCGTATCAAAAGCGGCACGCGCCCAAGGATCTGACGTGGGGGGGGGGGGAGCTTGGCTCAATGAAAACGTTCCCACTTGTCCCTTAAAAGATCGGAGCGATTGCGGCACAATAGCCTCTCCATCCCTGATTTGAAAGCCAAGAGGCTGTTGGTTCTCGGGGTTAAAGGTCGGCTAGAGAGAAAATGAATTGCCGTAATGATACGTTCAAAACCTAGCTCAGCCGCAGCTCAGCAGGCGCAGGGTGTAATGCGGCTGTCTATGCGCCGCGTGGTGCCTTGACATTCATGCGCGCACATTGACGTAAATGTGTACTATAGGGAAGATTCTCCAGTCAGAGATTTAATGTTTTGAGACTATGGGGGGACCAAGCTGAAACCTGGAGGACAGAGCTGGCCTGTTCACCCAGAGGATGTAGGCCAGAGTGTGGACTCTAATCTGGGAGAAACCGGTTTGATTCCCCACTCCTCCTTCACGTGCAGCTGCTGGTGTGACCTTGGGTCAGTCACAAGTTCTCTCAGAGCTGTTCTCTCAGGAGCAGTCCTCAAAAGAGCTCTCTCAGCCCCACCTGCCTCACAGGGTGTCCGTTGTGGGGAGGGGAAGGGAAAGGAGATTGTAAGGCACTCTGAGACTCCTTCAGGTAGTGAAGGGCGGGGTATAAATCCCATCTCTTCTTCATTTGTTATGAGGGCCAGATCTGACAGAAATGTCACTTTGTCGGGCTGTGCCACATATGCCATAAAACGTAATGCCGGTAGGGTTGCCATTCCTCCGGTGGTGCCAGGGAAACCCCCAATATTTGAGACTTCGGCCCGCTGCCGGCCCCCTGGCTGGCAGGGAAAGCCCCACCCCCAAGCAGGGACATCACACAGGAGCCCCACCCCCAAACAGGGACATCACACCAGAAGTGACATCATTGCACAGTGGGGATGTCACGTGGGGACGCTCTGGCATTTGGGCAAACTATGGTTTGAGGCCAAAAAACCCACAGAGTTTGCCCAAATGCCAAAGCGTCCCCTATGCAACACCCCCCCCGGAAGCCCCCCACCCCCCAGTCTTCTGCCCCAGGCAAGGTAAGACCTGGCAATCTTAAATGCCAGGTACTGGAGATATAAACTTTATAAAGGGCAGTAGCTGGTAAGTTCCAAGGGGGGGTGCAGAGGAAAACCCACATGAGCCGACTGGAGAGCCAGAGGTGCAGTGCTGGGCAGACGTTCCCACGCTGCCTGGAGGGGGGGCAAACCCCTTCCCCAGCCCGCTCCTGCTGCCAATGCTGTGAGCCCGGTCCCCAGGGACCGATTTGGTGTAGTGGTTAAGTGCGTGGACTCTAATCTGGGAGAACTGGGTTTGATCCCCCACTCCTCCACATGCAGCTGCTGGTGTGACCTTGGGTCAGTCACAAGTTCTCTCAGAGCTGTTCTCTCAAGAGCAAAAGAGAAAAGGAGATTGGATTTATACCCCGCCCTTCACTTGGAGTCTCAGAGCGGCCTACAAACTCCTTTCCCTTCCCCTCCCCACAACAGACACCCTGTGAGGTGGGTGGGGCTGAGAGAACTCCGACACAAACTGCTCTTTTTCAAGGACAGCTGTGCCAGAGCTTGTGACTGACTCAAGGTCACATCAGCAGGTGCAAGTGGAGGAGTGGGGACTCAAACCCGGTTCTCCCAGATTAGAGTCCGCGCACTTCACCACTACACCAAACTGGCTCGAAAGAGCTCTATCAGCCCTACCTACCTCACAGGGTGTCTGTTGTGGGGAGGGGAAGACTGTAAGCCACTCTGAGACTCCATTGGGTAGTGAAGGGCAGGGTATAAATCCAATCTCCTCTTCTTCTAAAAACGCCAAGTGGCTGGGTATTGCGAGCTCCCCTCTGCCCCTGAGTGCAGGATCGGCCACAGTTGTGGAAGTGGTGCCATGCCGAGGCACCTGGGTGGTGGGCAAAGCTTTCCCCCTTTGCCAGGTCTGGGATTGCTGGCGGGGAAGTGCCAAGCCAAGCCATAGCCCCAGTTCCCGTGAAGGCAGCCTTCATAAAGGTGACTTTTCACCGAAATGGCGGGAGTGGGGTTGGATGGGACAAAGTCATTTGCCACTGCCACTTGAAACCCTTGGGCCAGCCCTGTTGAGATGAAAAACCTTTATGCTTCTGCCCCCAAATTTAATGCCTACAAAAATTTTGGGGCAATCGACTGCCAGAGACACAGAGCAAAATCCACACATGACATCTAGTATCCATCACATCCGAGGTGTATTCTGCTCAGCTGCTGTTGGTCATCAGCAGTGTCCGATTTCCCCTTTGATCAAATCTTGTTTTACTTCCTCCTCTCTCTGCACCATTCTCCCTGCTGGATATTTAACTGAGCCTACAGATGTACTCTTCTGTGCCTCCGAAGAAGGGAGGTCTGGCCCAGGATAGTCTGTGCTGAAAGAAATTATGTTTAGTCTTCTAAGGTGCTACTCGACGGAGCAGAATATGGAAACCGCCCCTGGTAAACAGGGAACAGAAGAGGAAGAGCCCTCGAGAGGAGGTAAAGGTAAAGGTTTCCCTTGCTCAAAAGCCAGTCGAATCCGACTCTAGAGGGCGGTGCTCATCTCCGTTTCCAGCCCAAAGAGCCAGCGCAGTCCAAAGACTTCTCCGTGGTCATGTGGCCGGCATGACTAGACGCCAAGGCCCACAGAACGCTGTTACCTTCCCACCGAAGCAGCACCTATTTATCTACTTGTAATGTATTGGAACGATTACATGAATCACCTCATAGGACTCCCATGTTAAGCTTCGAGCCAAACCAGGGCTCCTCTGAGCGAACTTCCTATTGGTCGCTCTGCAACAGCGACCAATCAGAACTGTGCCATTCCCTGCGAGGGAAAGACTCCCATTGGTCTTTAACTCATCAATCTCATTGGTTGTTAAATGTAAATAGGCGTGGCTATATTAGCCCAGTAATGTTTAAAAGGAGGCTAGCTCCCAATGTTAAACTGTTCTGGTTTCTTACTGAGTTGAGTGCTTGTTCGTTACTTCCAATAAAGCTGAATCACTTGCTGAATCACTCTACGAGTCCTTTGTTAGCACGATCTAACAATACTTGCAGTTTCTTGCTTTTGAACTGCTAGGTTGGCAGGAGCTGGAACCAGAGACGGGAGCTCACTCTGTCATGCAGCACACTCGTGTCTCGAACTGCCGAACTACTGACCTTCCGGTCTGCAGCTCAGCGTCTTAACCACTTGAGCCACCGCAGCCCCTTTTCGAGAGGAGGCCTCAGGGGCAAATTCAGGAACTGAAACAATTCCCAAGATCCTTTGCGAGAACCCCCCCCCCAGGTCTCATTATGTTTCCCCCGGGGTCTTCCCGAGTTCAGTGTGAGCCATGATATATATTGAGAGTTCTGTGTTGGTCTCATTTATGTCAGATCCAGCCCTCGTAACAAATGAGTTTGACACCCCTGCTTTAAGTGTACCCCATCTACACATACAGAACCCCTAAGGAAGAAAATGGCAGCTCCCCAGGGCATTTCAGGTCAAGAAAACTGTGCTGGGGGGACGGGGGGGGGGGGGGGGTGATCCTTCTCTCCTTATGCACTGTGGTCCCAATCCAAGTCACACTCACACGTGTGCCAGGTATTAAGGGCACAGAATTCACAGGGCCAATCGATGGATCCAGGGGGGAAAATACCCTCATATGTTTTTATGCCATAGGGCTTGGGAACAAAATCCTTTTGTTTCCCTTGCTTTTAAACTGAATTTTAACCCACCTTTTAGTGGCTTATTTAAACATCTCTTAAAAAAAAAAAAAAATCTCCACGGCCTGTATCCCTCTTCTTTTGCACTGTTTCACGTGTTCTGCTTTTTTGTGTTGCTCTGTGCGGCTTTTTAAAAATGCCGATGTAACACAAGATTATGATGGTGTCAGCACTGGCTAGGCCAAAACCGAAAAGGTTGAAAAGCAAATAATCATCATGTCTAGTCTTGTACGGTTGACAGGTCTGTTACGGCTTACAAAGGGCATCACTCTGCAGATTATCGATACGTTGTTTATTTATTAAAGGACGTTTGACTTGTTTAGGCTGTATTGATTTTGTAAGAGTTTGTATTTCTCTGCTTGCTCCTCAACCTTTTCTGAATTTGCGTGCTTTGTGTGGGGGCTGCAGGTTTAGAAACTCCACACACACCCCATATTTATCACAGGCACTCAATGAAATTGCTGAGTGGTCGGGTTAGAACGGATAAAAGGAAGTACTTCTTCACCCAAAGAGTGATTAACACATGGAATTCACTGCCACAGGAGGTGGTGGCGGCTACAAGCATGGACGGCTTCAAAAGGGAATTAGATAAGCATATGGAGCAGAGGTCCATCAGTGGCTATTAGCCACAAGATATAGATAGGGGCTCTGGGGCAAGTGATGCTCTTTCTTCTTGGTGCTTGGGGAGGGGGCAACAGTGGGAGGGCTTCAAATGTCCTGGCCCCACTGGTGGACCTCCTGATGGCACTGGTATTTCTGGCCACTGTGTGACACAGAATGTTGGACTGGATGGGCCTTTGGCCTAATCTAACATGGGTGTCTCTTATGTTCTTATGTTCAGGCTGGCCTAGTTTTACTAAGGGGTGGTGGTGGTGGTTTTAACGTCTTATCTTGTGAACAAGATGCAGCTCAACCAGGATAGGTGCAGACTGAGTTCTTCAATAACAAAAACGAGAAGCACACGTACCAAATGACTGCAATAAAAAAGGCCGATGCTATGCTGGGGATTATTAGGAAGGGTATTGAAAACAGATCAGCCAATATCATAATGCCCCTATATAAATCAATAGTGCGACCTCATTTGGAATACTGTGTGCAGTTCTGGGCACCACACCTTAAAAAGGATATTATAGCTTTGGAAAAAGTGCAGAAAAGGGCAACTCGAATGATAAAAGGGTTGGAACACTTTCCCTATGAGGAAAGGTTAAAGCGCTTAGGGCTCTTTAGCTTGGAGAAAAGACGACTAAGGGGTGACATGATCGAGGTTTATAAGATTATGCATGGGAAAGAACAGGTAAAGAAAGAGGTACTTTTCTCCCTTTCTCACAATACAAGAACCCGTGGGCACTCCATGAAATTGCTGAGCGGTCGGGTTAGAACGGATAGAAGGAAGTACTTCTTCACCCAAAGAGTGATTAACACATGGAATTCAGTGCCACAGGAAGTGGTGGTGGCTACAAGCATGGACGGCTTCAAAAGGGAATTAGATAAGCATATGGAGCAGAGGTCCATCAGTGGCTATTAGCCACAAGGTATAGATAGGGACTCTGGGGCAAGTGATGCTCTGTCTTCTTGGTGCTTGGAGGGGTCAACAGTGGGAGGGCTTCTAATGTCTTGGCCCCACTGGAGGACCTCCTGATGGCATCTGGTATTTCTGGCCACTGTGTGACACAGAGTGTTGGACTGGATGGGCCTTTGGCCTGATCCAACATTGGCGTCTCTTATGTTCTTATTTTATTATTTATTTATTATATTTATAACCCGCCCGCCCCGCAATTTTTTATGTAAATGGGGGACACGCTTCTGGGTAGCAGTGTGTGTGAACAAGATTTTGGGGTATGGGTAGTCTATAAGCTAAATATGAGCAGTCAGTGTGACGCAGCAGCAACAAAGGCTAATGTGGTTTGGGGGGGGGTATCAACAGAGGCATAACATCCAAAACGCAAGATGTCATAGTCCTATTGTGCGCTGCGTTGATCAGGCTGCGCCTGGAGTACTGTGTACAGTTTCGGAGGCCTCACTTCCAAAAGGTTGTGGACAGAATGGAGTGGGTACAGAGGAGAGCGACAAGGATGATCAGGGGGCTGAAGGCCAAGCCATAGGAGGAAAGGCTGAGGGACTGGAGAACTAGTCTGGAGAAGAGGAGGTCGAGGGGGAGGTGACATGATTACTTTCTTTAAGTCTCTGAAGGGCTGTCACTCGGAGGAGGGCAGGGAGCAGTGTTCCCTCTAAGCTGAGTTAGTGTGAGCCAGCTCACAGCTTTTTAGCCTCCAGCTCACAGATTTTTGTTTTAGCTCAGGAAGGATGGGCTCCAGAGCAAGCTAATTTATGCAGCAGCCAAATTGCTCACTCACAACTTTAATACCAGTAGCTCACAAAGTAGAATTTTTGCTCACAAGACTCCACAGCTTAGAGGGAACATTGGCAGGGAGCTGTTCCTGTTGGCAGCAGAGGATAAGACTCATAAGAAAGGGTTTAAATTAAGGGCAGCCGGGCAGGTAGGTACTGGCTCCTTGGGAGGAAAGTGATGGTGAACCTAAACAGCATGATAAAAAGCAGAGACATCACCCTGCCAACAAAAGTCCGCATGGTCCAAGCAATGGTATTCCCAGTAGTCATGTATGGCTGCAAGAGTTGGGCTATAGGGAAGGCCGAGTGCCGAAGAATAGATTCTTTTTAACTGTGGTGCTGGAGAAGACTCTTGAGAGTCCCTTGGACTGCAAGGAGATCAAATCAGTCAATCCTAAAAGAAATCAACCCTGACTGTTCCCTGGAAGGCCAAATAATGAAACTGAAGCTCAAATACTTTGGCCACCAAATGAGAAGGGAGCACTCACTGGAGAAGACCCTGATGCTGGGAAAGATTGAAGGTCAAAGAAGACGGGGACGGCAAAGGATGAGATGGTTAGACAGTGTCATCGATGCAACGAACATGAAATTGAGCAAACTCCAGAGGACGACAGAAGGCAGGAGGGCCTGGCCTGGCGTGATGTGGTCCGTGGGGTTGTGAAGAGTCGGACTCGACTGTGTGATTGAACAACAACAACAACAAAAGGTACTGGCTGGATATTAGGAAAAAATGTTTCAACAGTAAGAGCAGTTCAGCAGTGGAATGGGCTGCATAGGGAGGTGGTGAGCTCCCCCTCACTGGCAGTCTTCAAGCAGCGGCTGGATGAAGACTTGTCAGGGATGCTTTAGGCTGAGCTTGCACTGAGCAGGGACTAGATGGCCTCTATGGCCTCTTCCACTCTATGTGTTATGTATTGGGATTGAATCATTCCTGATTGAATCACCCCAGAGACAGTTTGAGCTTAGAGCTCAAGAACAATAGCCCACCAGGATTCTGAAAGTAACCAATCTAGTAGTAAGTTAAAGGTAAAGGTTCCCTTACTCGAAAGCCAGTCGAATCCGACTCTAGGGTTGCGGTGCTCATCTCCGTTTCAAAGCCGAAGAGCCAGCGCTGTCCAAAGACATTTCCGTGGTCATGTGGCCGGCATGATGTTATGTAATGTTATGTAAATAGTCTATCACTGGGAGTGGGGTGTATTTGGGTGTGGCAACTGCATCCTATTTAGCAGAGCTGAGTCTCTGGAGTCTCGTCTTGGAACCCACTATTTAACACTGTGCTTTATGGTCTTGTAAGTTTCTGGCAGAGAAATCTCCCAGTGACTCAACAAAGCAGATTCAGGCATCCCGACTAATGTTCCCTCTAAGGTATGGAGTCTTGTGAGCAAAAATTCTACTTTGTGAGCTACTCGCATGAAAGTAGTGAGCGAGCGATTTGGCTACTGCATCAGTTAGTTTGCTCTGGAGCCCCATCCTTCCTGAGCTGAGACAAAAGTCTGTGAGCCGGAGGCTAAAAAACTGTGAGCTAGCTCACACTAACTCAGCTTGGAGGGAACATTGGTCCCGACTCCTGTGAAATGGAGCAAAATATGGGACTGGTCCCCAAGTGAATGGTGCGGCTGTGAGGAATTGGCCCTGGTGTCTCACTGCTCTCGCCTTTTGACTTACTTGACATAGATGTACAGAATGACCAAAGTGGACATATAGCCAAAGAGCCCCACGGCCTCCCGCACCGGCTGCAGGCGCAGCGAGATGTCCTCCATGATGTCGAAGGCCACCTGGGACAGGCTCTTGCTGGCATTGACGGACACGTCGTAATGGTGGACGGTGGTGATGTTGAATTCAAACTCACGGCGGATGCGGTCGAGCACTCTGGAGATGGCTGGGGGTGGGCGGGAGAGTGAGAATCGGGTGAGGCACTGCTCCACACCAGCAACTTTGCATTTTGAAGTGTCACAGATCTGGGACCACAAGACGGGCAATGTTTTTTTTGGGGGGGGGGATTAGACGATACTGCTCAGCCGGGAGTTGTTAAGATCAAGTTGTTAAGAGCAAGATGGAACCTCCACATGCAGTGACAGTCTATCTTTGGACGCCAAGTGCCACAGAACTCAAATGTGCTGGGCAGCTTTCCAGAGGCATCCCTGTTGTTGACATTTGAAAATGAACGGTGGGCTTGATAGACCCATGAAAACAGACCCATCCCTCAAGGATAATCTATCATCAATCCTATTAGCCCTGACAACCCAATGGAACCTCCTCATTCAGAGGCAGTGTACCTCCAAGTGCCAGGTGCTTTAGAGGCATAAACTGGGAGGGCTGTTGCCTTCATACCCTACTTGTGGGTTTCCCCAAAAAACATTTGGGCGGCTGTGACTGGAAACAGGATCCACAGATTCAATGGATCTGGGTATGGTCAAGTAAGGTGGGGTTCTCATTGCCATTCAGAAGAAGTCAGGTGTGTGTGTGTGTGGGGGGGGGGGTTTCCTTTGGCCATTCATAGATACGAGTCTGCCTCACCATCCCCCCCCCACACCACACCCAGCTTCTCCGACTTGAGGCCAGTGAGTCAGAAAGGACCCCAGAGCACTCACGAGCTCCAATGTTGCGGCGTATGAACGGCACGATATATTGGGGAATGATGCAAAACACGAGGAGGACTGCGGGAAAGAAAGAAAGAAAGACCATTAAAAGAAGAAGAAGAAGAGTTGGTTTTATAACCTGCTCTTCACGACCCAAAGGAGTCTCGGAGCGGCTTACCATCACCTTCCCTTCCTCTCCCCACAACAGACACCCTTGTGAGGTAGGTGGGGCTGAGAGAGTTCCAGGGCTATTTTTAGGCAGGAACGCACAGGAACGCAGTTCTGGCTGGCTCCTGCGTTGGAACTCATTAGCATAATAGGCCACACCCAACAGCAGAAATTCATTAGGATTGGCTACAATTAGGGGTGTGTGGGAGTTCAAATGCAAAGGAGTTCCTGCAACAAGAAAAGGCCCTGGGTTTTGACAACAAACAAGGTAAACAGAATAAGAAGCAAAGGGTGGGTGTGGCTGGATGACCACATTTCTGGTAACATGGGGGTGTGGCCTAATATGCTAATGAGCTGCTCTCGGGGTGTGGCCTATTATGCTAATGAATTTCTGCTGTTGGGTGTGGCCTCTTATGCTAATGAGTTCCTGCTGGGCTTTTCCTACAAAAATAGCCCTGGAGAGTTCTAACAGAACTGTGACTGACCCAAGTGATCTGAGACTAGCAATAGTCTCATATTGCTAGACTCATGCCACTTAGGGCTGGCTTCATGTGGAGGAGTGGAGAATTAAACCCACTTCGCCAGATCAGAGTTGGCTGCTTTTAACTACTACACCACACTGGCTCTGCCCCCCTCCCGCCCCAGATGCAATGGTTAGCCTCTGTGACCTACCAAGACCCCCATATCTCACTGCACGTAAGGATACGATCAAACTGGGAGGAACTATGGAAAGCGGCAACGATTATGAAAATCTCCCTCCTCCATGTGACCTTCCAGGATTCTATAAACTCTCATGCACTTCACCAGCCCGTCTCCTCTGGCCTTTTACCACTTTAAGTGACTCTCAGCTGCTCTCAACATTCTCTGCCTCCTGCAGCATACGCAGTCTGCCATGCTCTGCCATGGAAGCTTGTCCAGGTCATACACTACGGCTGCCAAGTGGGGGCGGGTGGCGGGTAAACCCCCGCTTTGGAGGCCTGATTTCCGCTGCCGTGGAATCGGGCCTCGGGGGGAACTCCGCCCCCCCAAAGCGCAATGCACCAGAGGTGACACAACCACGTCGATCACGTTGGGGGCGTGGCCCTGATCGTCGGAGGGAAAACTCTATGGTTTTCCCTCCGACGATCGGGGCCACGCCCTCAATGTGTTAGACGCCGCGCGTCACTTCCGGTGACATGCTGGCGGCGCACACACGCATCAACTGAGAGCTCCTGGAGCCCAGCGACGCTCCCCCGCCGGTAGGGAAAATCAACTTGGCAACCCTATCATACACTCTCCACCTACCCTAACTCGCAGGGTTGCTGTGAGGATAAAATGCAGGAGACGAGAATGATGTAAGCTGCTATGGGTCCCCATTGGAGAGAAAGGCAGGGTATGTATGTATTTATTTATTTAATTCAGTTTCTGTCCCGCCCTTCCCGCCGAGGCAGGCTCAGGGCGGCTGAAATATAAATGAAGTAAATAACACAGTCTAAAAACAGAGCAGTTCAATAGTACGAGAGATCTGATAAGCAAAGCATTAGGACAAGGATTACAAATGAATAACAATGCGAAAAGCATGTGACAAATGTCAAACAATGCAAAAAATGTAAACACAGAAGTTAATGTAGTAACAGCAGCATGATACATCGAACAGACAGATAAAATGTACCCTAAAGACCGGCATAGATAACAGTCCCGTTCTCTTTAGAAAAGCCCCTTAGATACGGTGTTGACTCTTAGCAGGAATACAGTGCTTTCGAAGGTTCAAAGCACAGATATCATCTGGGTAATCCTGACTGCAACCCTGTAAACTAAACCATCATTATCACCACCCCACAAAAGGGCCTACAATATACAGGTGTTTTCCCTCGCTTTCACAGTGCATGTCCGTTGGTTTTCTTTGTCATTCTGCATTGATTTTTCTCCCTCGTTAGTTCACTTTTTTCTTTTTTTTAAAGCTGCCCCCAAGGGCAGAATTTTATTAAGTTTTAAACACAATAGAATACAATACAAAACTTAACATACAAACATTAAAACACACGCATACACATAACATAGATGGGGGTAATAAATTCTCATAAGTAATACATTGGCTATGCCTAACACTAAGAATGTTTACTAATTTTATAAGTGAGTATATCTCATTACAGTTCTCTCTAATTGGATTAAATAAGTACTCTTTTTCTTGTAAGTCGTCTTTCAATTATATCTGCCTACATATGATTATTATACCAGTTATAAAATCGAGACCATGTATTCTGAAATGTAGAATCAGAGAGACCTTTCATCAATAAAGTCAATTTGTCAATTTATTATTATTATTATTATTATTATTATTGTTATTATTATTATTATTATTTATTACCTGTGTCCAAGTATGTCAGCAAGGTAAGGCTGCACAAGCTCTATTTCCCCCTTGTTTTTTAATTTTTTTTACAAGCGGCATGAGTCTAGTGATAGGAGACTATTGCTGAATTGTTGAATCGCTGAATACAAAAAATTCAAACGACCGGGGAGGGGGGAGTTTAAAAGGAGCTATGCGAGGTTTCGTTCCCTGCTGGTGTTGACTTGAAATGGGGATTGGAGAAGAGGCAAATGATAGGGTCCCCATTGCAAAGGGGGGGGGGAGTCAGTGCTACAGGCAAAAAAATAAAGGGGGGGATCATAGGCGTGGAATGAAATTGACATGAGATGTAATGAGAGACAGACACAGGGATGGGAAGCCTAAAGCTCTGAAGACATGTTTCTCTTTCAGGCTTTAGTGAACAAAGTTAAAGGGGGGGGGGGGACACCATTTTGGCAGTCTCTGGAAGCCTAACATTAAAATGGCAGCTGAGCCACATGGTCCTTCTGCAAATTGCCAAACTTAAGAATCACTTGGGATCGATCCATTTGGTGCAATCTCCACAAGACAGGCTCAAAAAAAACCCTGCCAAGATCATGACCAGTGTGCAGGATCATATTAAAGAATCACAAAGAGAAAACCACGCACATTTGCAAGGAAGGTCAGGAGATTAGCATTACCATGCAGCTGCGCTAGGGCATCAGCGAAAACACCCCCTACCCCATTTTTTTTTCAATTTAGTGGGACAAGACTAAAAAAGCTCTCCAGAGCTTTTGGCAGAGGACACCTCCCCCGTACAAATTGCAGCGCTGGGCAAAGTGTGGTGGAGTTGCAGCCCACTTTGCACAGGCATGCACACACACACATTGTCAGCTATCACAGCTTGCAGTGCCAGTGTCAGCGGGTTCTACTGTGCATTCTATACACTCAACATGTTCCCCCGTATTATGAGATCATGTGCCTCGGTCCCATTTTTCACAGTGGCCGGTAACACAGCAGAGAATCCCCTACTGTTCCGCAATATGGAAAACCAAGCTTTGCAACTGCTTGTCAGTTTCAAAAAAGTCTTGTCAGTTTCAACGTCAAATTCCCTGCCCCCCCTTGCCTCTGTTCCTTTCTGTTCCCTTTCATTCAACACACTAACACTACAATGCAGCGTAAAACCTGAACCACGAAGATTTAAATGGAAGGCGCTTGCTGGACGCTACTGTGCAGCTGAGATAGGGCAATTGCGTACATTTTTTAAAAACTTCAGATGCCACTCCCCCCCCTCATCACGTGACGTTCCACCCTGATTTAGAAATGTTTAGTTTTTTTTAAATTGTAGCTGCAGAATAAATACACTGGAAGAAAAAGAATGGTGCATAAGGTGGGCACAGAATCCGAAGTCAAGATTACAGGCTTCCTCCTCCGAAAATCTGCAGTAAGATGTGTGTACGTACTAGTCCAAGCACTCTCGGAAAACCCGGAGAAACAGCGACCAGAAGGTGAACTGAGCCCTGAAGGGAGGGAAATCAATGCAGAGCGACAAAGAAAACCCGACAGACATTCATGGGGAAAGCGAGGGGAAACACCCATGCGTAATAGGCCTAAAATCCAGTTGCAAAGTGCATTGAGAGTGGATTGAAAGTACATTGTTTAGTCCTGGCCTGGATAGCGCAGGCCAGCCCAATCTTGTCAGATTTGGGAAGCTAAGCAGGGTTGACTCTGGCAAGTACTTGGATGGGAGACTTCCTTGGAATATCAGAAGTCGGGAGGCGGGGGCAGGCTTTATTCAGCCACCTCTCTGAATATCCTCCAGGCCCCCAGTAGGGGTCAGTCACCAGAGGTCGCCATGACTTCCAGGTGTGCACACATACCCTCACACGAGTGCAAGCATGCACACATACACGCACCCAGGGCTTTTTTTGTAGAAAAAGCCCAGCAGGAACTCATTAGCATAATAGGCCACACCCAACAGCAGGAACTAATTAGCGTATCCAGCCACACCCATGAGAGCATAGCTCATTAGCATATTAGGCCGCACCCCCGTGTTACCAGAAGTATAGTCATCCAGCCACACCCACTTTTTGCTTCTTATTCTGTTTACCTTGTTTGTGGTCAAAACCCAGGGCTTTTTTTGGAGCAGGAACTCCTTTGCATGTTAGGCCACACACCCTTAATGTAGCCAATCCTAATGAGTTCCTGCTGTTGGGTGTGGCCTATTATGCTAATGAGTTCCTGCTGGGCGTGGTCAACTCGGGAGCCAGCCGGAACTCCGTTCCTGTGCGTTCCTGCCCAAAAATAGCCCTGGCCCACACATCTATTCAAAAGGAAAGAGAGTGCATTATTTCGTGTGTGTGAAAGCGCCCTAAAATGTTCGGAGCGTGTACGTCATGCTTGTCGGGGGGGGGGGGCTGTGAGAAGTGTTGGCCTAGCAGCAGAGGTCAGGGGTCACGCCCAGCCATGGGGCGGACCAGAAAACAGGTTCAGGGGTTACCCTCACCGTTTGCCAGGCCGCAGAGGGGCTTGAAGAGCAGCACGATGTAGCAGAGGAGGTAAAGGGCGGGGATGGCCTGTTCGCATTGGTCCTTGGCGTTGTCAAAGAGGTTGACGCACTTGCGGTAGGGGGTGCCCAGTTCCCGGTTGCACACCTCGCCCAGGTTCAGCATCCAGTACCACACGTTCCGGAGGCAGTGAGCTGCAGGACAGGAAAAGCAGTGCCAAGTCAGTACGGTTCCCAGGGCCCCCTGGTCACCCGCAGAGGATGGGAGGGTAGGGTGGTCAGATCCAGGTAGGAAAACTACTGGGGATTTGGGGGCGGGGCCTGGGGAGGACAGGGGATCTCAGTGGGGTACAAGGCCATAGAGCCCACCCTCCAAAGCAGCCATTGTCTCCAGGGGAACTGATCTCTGTTGTTAAATATTAGGTTCCGTGTCTAGTGGCCAGCTCTACTTTATGAGTGATTTCAGCAAGAACAAGACCAAACTCCAGGGCCTCAGCCCTGTCTAAATAGCATGCAGTTGCCACATCCAAACACACCCCGCTCCCAACGATAGGCTATTCACATAACACCAGGGCTTTTTTTGTAGAAAAAGCCCAGCAGGAACTCATTAGCATAATAGGCCACACCCAACAGAATCTATTAGCATATCCAGCCACACCCATGAAAGCACAGCTCATTGGCACATTAGGCCACACCCCCATGTTACCAGAAGTGTGGTCATCCAGCCACACCCACCTTTTGCTTCTTATTCTGTTTACCTTGTTTGTTGTCAAAACCCAGGGCCTTTTTTGTAGCAGGAACTCCTTTGCATGTTAGGCCACACACCCCTAACATAGCCAATCCTAATGAGTTTCTGCTGTTGGGTGTGGCCTATTATGCTAATGAGTTCCTGCTGGGCGTGGCCAACTTGGGAGCCATCCGGAACTCCGTTCCTGTGCGTTCCTGCCCCAAAATAGCCCTGCATAACACTACTTCTTGTTGTACTACCAGAGTCCTGGTGGGCTATTTTTCTTGGGCTCCAAGCTCAGCCAGTCTCAGGTAGAACAGTCCTGGAATGTTTCAGTCCCAATACATAACATCTGTAGTCTGGAGATGAGCTGTACACCTACAAAAACACATGAAGCTGCCTTATACTGAATCGAGGTCAGGATTGTCTACTCAGACTGGCAGCGGCTCTCCAGGGTCCCAGATGGAGGTCTTTCACATCACCTACTGTCTGGTCCTTTTTAACTGGAGATGCCGAGGATTGAGCCTGGGACCTTCTGCGTGCCGAGCAGAGGCTCTACCAGTGAGCCACAGCCCCTCCCCTAAAACTTACTCTGGACACATAAAACTGCCTTATACTAAATCAGACCCTTGGTCCATCAAAGTCAGAATTGCCTACTCAGACCCTCAGTGGCTCTCCAGGGTCTCAGGCTGAGGTCTTTCACATCACCTACTGCCTGGTCCTTTTAACTGGATATGCTGGGGATGCAACCTGGGACTTTCTGCATGCCAAGCTGTAATTCCAGGGGATCTGCAGGTCCCACCTGGAGGTTGGCATCCCTACAAGTCATGGGGAATCATCTCAAGTGCCTCTGGCAACTGACAATCTCTAGATGGAACAAGCGAAAGGCTGTCATTTGGAGGAGGGCAAGGAGCTGTTCCAGTTGGCAGCAGAGGAGGACCCGAAGCAACGGGTTTAAATTACATGCAGAAAGGTATCGGCTGGATATCAGGAAAAACCGTGTCATGGCCAGAGTGGTTCGAAGGTGGAATCAGCTGCCTAGGGAGGTGGTGAGCTCCCCTTCACTGACCGCTTTCAAGAAGAGGCTAGACAAATATTTGTCAGAGATGTTTTAGGCCGGTCCTGCATTGGGCAGGGGGTTGGACTAGATGGTCTGTATGGCCCCCTTCCAAATCTATGATTCAAAGTGGTCAAGTACACTTTATATTTCCCCTCTATTTTAAATGCTCCCCCCCCTTTCAACTGCAGCGTCCCGGTTTCCTTCCTTAAGGAGGGGAGCGGTGTAGGAAAAGAAAAGCCTGCTTGCGGGATGGGTGGGGTATAAATATAATAAATAAATAAATAAATTTTTTTTAAAAAAGGAGACGTTAACTTTTTCCTCCCTGAACATTTTTTCACTGGTAAAAGCCACCTCTTTTATATTTATTTTTTGGATTTGTATCCCGCCCTCCCTGTAATGTATCCAGTCTAGACAAGTCCAGACAAGTCCAGAGACAAACGTCGAGCTTCGCTCCAAGGGACAATGGACTATGCGGATCCTAGCCCGCTCCAATCAGGGGGCTAGGTTCCCAGCCGAGAGCCTGGGCACTCTCGGCCACTGTAAATAACCTATAGGGAAGTAGGGTGTGTGTTTTGGGTGGCGGTTTCTCGGGGGATATAAGCCGGCCTGCGAGCCGGCCAAAGTCGTCTTGTTCCTGATCGAATACAGTACGCTTTGCTGAAATCACTCTCCGTCTGCGTACTTTTCACTCCCCGAAGGCTCAGGGCGGCTTTAAATATAATTTAGCGTCCAGTGGCACCTTTAAGACCAACAAAGCTTTATTCAAGGTGTGAGCTTTCGTGGGCAGGCACGCTTTTTAAGTGTGCACGTACACGAAAGCTCACGCCTTGGATAAACCTTTGTTGGTCTCCAAGGTGCCACGGGGCTCTACATTTGTTCTACTGCGTCAGACCAACACGGATGCCCACCTGGAAATATTTCCCCCCCAGTTTGAGTAAAACAGGCGGGGGTGGGTTTTTCCAGGCTGGAGCGGGCAGCCCTGCGCCCCCTAGCCCCTCAGACAGCCGCTGCTGCAAACCTGATGCCCGAGCCCCAGATGGGGTGGGCATGAGCGGCAGCTAGGGATGCCAGCCTCCAGGTGGGACCTGGGGATCCCCTGGAATTACAGCTTAACTCCAGAGCTCTGTTCCCCTGGAGAAAAGGGGTGCTTGGGAGGGTGGACTCTGTGGCACTGTGCCCCACTGAGGTCTCTCTCTTCTCCAGTCTCCATCCCCAAATCTCCAGGAGTATGTCAACCTGGATCTGGCAACCCTACTCCCCTATCCCCCATCAGGTGCAAACCTAAGCAGTAGCAGGATCCTGCTCTTCTTCTTCTCCTTCTTCTCTTCTTTTTCTCTTCTTCTTCTCCTTCTCCTTCTCTTCTTTTTCTCTTCTTCTTCTCCTTCTTCTCTTCTTCTTCTCTTCTTTTTCTCTTCTTCTCTTCTTCTTCTTCCCTCGCTCTCCTATGGGGGTGAGGCTGTGGGTGGCCGAGACCTCTTCCAGCAAGCCCCCCCCCGGGAGCTTCCCCTGTTGGCCACTGGCTAAGGCCGTCCCTCCTGAAGGGGGGCTACTTGGAAGACGGTTGAATCCATCCCTTTGCTTTTATTTCTGTCCGAGGCTTCTCATTTTCTCCGGGAGGGTGGGGGGGGGCTGTTCCTGAAATCTCTTCATATAGCAAGTGAGTTCCCACTGTCAAGAGATTATGCAGAAAGAAAGAGGAACGAACTGAAGGTGACATTTGAACTTGGGTGACCAGATGTCCTCTTTTTAGAGGACATGTCCTCTTGGGCAGGGCTATTTTTGGGCAGGAACGCACAGGAACGGAGTTCCGGCTGGCTCCCGAGTTGGCCACGCCCAGCAGGAACTCATTAGCATAATAGGCCACACCCAACAGCAGAAACTCATTAGGACTGGCTACATTAGGGGTGTGTGGCCTAACATGCAAGGAGTCCCGTTTTAAAAAAAAAGGCCCTGGGTTTTGACAACAAACAAGGTAAACAGAATAAGAAGCAAAAGGTGAGTGTGTCTGGATGACCACACTTCTGCGAACATGGGGTGTGTGGCCTAATATGCTAATGAGCTGTAACAGGGGCTCCTTTTAGAAGAAAAACTGATGAAAATGTCCCCCTTTTGGGTTGGAAGGCTAGGAATATTCCTACTGAGTAGCAATTATCACCGCTTAAATAGGAGTGTAGTATTTAAAATGAGATTTGTCACAGTGAATCACTTGTTTGAAGTAGTCAGTCGGGAAATACGTCCTCTTTTTTTGCTTTTCTGATTATGGCAGCTCTAATTTGAAGGGGGAAAAACGCCGGGCGGTTTATCACATCATAAATCCCTGCATTCTGTACACGCACCCACAAATAATTATTACTGTTGTTGTTGTTGTTTTGGAGGGTATTTTTTTGGGGGGGGGGTTCTGCCATTCTCCCACCCCCCTTCCCGCCCCCACAACTTACCAACATGCCGAACAGAGTCCATGACGGCCCGGAAAAGCTTTCGGACACGGTCGCCGACCACTTTGGCCTTCTTCGCAATATCCTTGATTTTCTGTAACGCAGCTGGGCAGAGACACGGGGCAGAGGGGAACAGGAACCTGGGTTTTAATAGGGACTAGGAACTTGTTTTCGGTTCCACAGCCAAACTAAAGAATACAGGAAGGCAAAGGAGCATAAAAAGGGACCACTGGGCATGTGTAGAGTGTTTTTCAATCACTATGGAGTAACCACAGGTTCGCAGTCTCATATCTGTATTCGGGAGCTCAGGCTTCCTGTCTGACATGGGGATCAGTGCCTGATGCTCAGATATCCACGGATGGGTTTCCAGAGTGGTTTTCTTAATGGTTAGATAGCAGCTGCAGGAGATCCTGTTTCAAGGTCAGTTCTGTAGCATGAGGGAGGGTTTTTTTTGTTTTTGATGGCTGCTTTTTAACCATTTGGGCCTTGGTGGCTCAGAGGGTAAGACACTGAGCTGCAGACCGGAAGGTCGGTAGCTCAGCAGTTCGAGACCCGAGTGCCGCATGACGGAGTGAGCTCCCGTCTCCGGCCCCAGCTCCTGCCAGCCTAGCAGTTCGAAAGCAAAAAATTGCAAGTAGATAAATAGGTACCGCTTTGGTGGGAAGGTAACAGCGTTCCGTGCGCCTTGGCATGCAGTCACACGGGCCACATGACCACAGAGATGTTTTCAGACAGCGCTGGCTCTTCGGCACCGCCCCCTAGAGTCAGATTCAGCCGGCTTTCAAGCAAGGGAAACCTTTACCCGTTAACCTTCTAACCATTTCAAAGTGTGCTTGAGGTCCCCTCACGGATCTTCCAGCACGTCCTCTAAGACAGCGATCACTTCCTTTCCCTGTCCTGATTTTTTTATTTGTGACTAGAACCAGAACTATTAGTAGTCAGAACCAGAAATCTAGAAACACAGAAACATAGAGCTGGAAGGGAGAGTAACAACTGCTCCCCCCTCTCCCCACTCCACAGTGACCCCTGCTGTGTGCCCAGAGGAAGGCAAAACCCCTCCAGGAGTAGACAATGCTGACCTTGATGGACCGAGGGTCGGGTTCAGTATAAGGCAGGGGCAACAAGGATGGTGAGGGATCTGGAGACCAAGTCCTATGAGGAAAGGTTGAAGGAGCTGGGTGTGTTTAGTGTCCTGTCCAGCGCGAGCTGTACTAAGCCAGCGCTCTCTAGGTGTGAGTCAACGCACGACTACTGAGGAGAGCTTAAATCATCTTTAATCAACTTCACACGCATTCAGAAGATCCTTTACTCACAATCGACCAGATAGCTGGGTGGAAAGTTACATCTTGTGATCTAGGTCAGTTCTATAGCCGTGGTGAGAAAGAGATGGGCTTCCCCTCTCCTTGCAGTAAGGGTTGATGGACAAAGAAAACGGAAAAGAACAATAAAACTCCTCTATCTTTGCGCCTCTGAGCTCAGGAAATTACTCTTAATGAGCCAGTCAGAGGGAAGCCTCTGGGACCCCTAACTGTGGACTCCAATTCCCAAGTGCAACAAGTCTTAAAGATACAGAGCAGTTTTACTAAACTACAGATAAACGCTGGCTGGGGGCAGCACATTTAGCCTGGAGAGGAGACGACTAAGAGGTGATAGGATAGCCATCTTCAAGTACTTGAAGGGCCGTGATCTAGAGGATGGTGATGCAGAGTTGTTTTCTGTTGCCCCAGAAGGTCGGACCAGAACCGACGTGTTGAAATTAAATCTGAAGAGTTTTCAGCTAAACATTAGGAAGAACTTCCTGACAGTTAGAGCATTTCCTCCGTGGAACAGGCTTCCTCTGGAGGTGGTGGGCTCTCCTTCTTTGGAGGCAGAGGCTCGATGGCCATCTGACAGCCATGCTGATTCTGTGAACTTGGGCAGATCAGGAGGGCATGAAGGGTTGCCTCAGTGCTTAGTTCTCGTGGCCCTTTCTTGCACCCCCAGGGAAATGCTGATCGCCACTTTGAGGTCAGGAACAGTGTTCCCTCTAAGCTGAATTAGTGTGAGCTAGCTCACAGACTTTTAGCCTCCAGCTCACACATTTTTCTCTTAGGAAGGATGGCTTCAGAGCAAACTAATTCATGCCAGTGGCCAAATCGCTCACTCACAACTTTAATGCCGGTGGCTCACAAAGTAGAAGTTTTGCTCACAAGACTCCACAGCTTAGAGGGAACATTGGTCAGGAATCAATTTTTCTCCAGGCCAGTTGGGCCAGGGATCCTGGAGGTTTTTTGTCATCTTCTGGGCATAGAACAGGGGTCACTGGGGGTATGGAGGGGGAGGTATTTGTGGATTTCCTGCATTGTGCAGGGGGTTGGACTAGATGACCCTGGAGGTCCCTTCCAGCTCTATGATTCTATGATTCATATGTTATGCATACGTGATCTGGGGAACCCCAGTTCAGGTCTCCATTCTGCCACAGACGTTTACTGGGTGACTTTGGGCTGGCCACACATTCAGCCTGGCCTCCCTCACAGGATTGTTGTGAGGATGAAGCGGAGAAGAGGGGAATGATGATATAAGCTGCTTTGGGTTCCCCTTGGGGAGGACAGCGGCGTATAAAGGAAGCAAATAAATAATAATAATATGCCCATGCCGCGGGAGCTGACTGGGTGACCTTGGCCTAGTGACACCCTCTCAGCCTAGCCTACCTCACAGGGTTGGTGTGAGGATAAAATGGAGGAGAGGTGATTGATGTAAGCTGCTTTGGGTCCCCATTAGGGGAGAAAGGTGAGGGGTAAATGAAGCAGAGAAGTAATTAAATAAAACAATCTCTCTCACCGAGCAGGGGCTGACGGGCTCTCTGCAGCATCTCCGCCGTCTGGTTCAGAGCGAGCTCAGCGCCGCACGACACGGCCTCGGCAGAGCGCGTGAAGTTCCGCACGATGTTGGCGAAGGGGCCCTGCATGGCCAAGCCGAAGGCCAAGAGCAGCAGGATGGTTTTGCTCTCTCCTGCAAGGGACAGACAGAGGTACATAGGGATGCCAGCCTCCAGGTGGGACCTGGGGATCCCCTGGAATTACACCTCATCTCCAGACAACAGAGGTCAATTCCCCTGGAGAAAACAGATGCTTTGGAGGGCCTTTCCCCTGATTCTGGTGCTGTGTGTTTCTGTGTTTAACATAAGAACATAAGAGAAGCCAATGCTGGATCAGGCCAATGTCCCATCCAGTCCAACACTCTGTCACATGGTGGCCAAAAATACCAGGGGCCATCATGAGGTCCGGCAGTGGAGCCAGGACACTAGAAGCTAGGGTTGCCAAGTGGATTTTTGCCGGGAGCGGGGGGCTCCCGGCCGGCGTCTGGTGCACGCGTGCACGTGCCGCACACATGTCACCCGGAAGTGACAGGAGGATGCCAGGTACGCTGGGGGCGGGGCCACGGCCATACAAGGGAAAACCATAGAGTTTTCCCTTGGATGGCCGTGACCCCGCCCCCAGCATGCCTGGCGTCCTCCCGTCACTTCTGGGTGACGTGCGCGTCGGGGCGGAGTTCCCCCTGGGGCCCGATCTGGTGGCGCCGGGGAACGGGCCTCTGGGGCGGGGGTTTCCCCGCCCCCCAGGGGGACTTGGGATCCCTACTAGAAGCCCTCCCACTGTTGCTGCCCCCCCCCCAAGCACCAAGACTACAGAGCATCACTTGCCCCAGCCTGAGAGTTCCTCTCTATACCTTGTGGCTAAGAGCTACTGATGGACCTCTGCTCCAGATGTTTATCCAATTCCCTCTTGAAGCCGTCCATGCTTGTAGCCGCCGCCACCCCCTGTGGCCGTGAATTCCATGTGTCAATCGCTCTTTGGGTGAAAAAGTTGACTTCCTTTTATCCGTTCTAACCCGACTGCTTAGCAATTTCATGGAGTGCCCACCAGAGTTCTTGTGTTGTGAGAAAGGGAGAAAAGTACTTCTTTCTCGACCTGCTCTGTCCCACGCATAATCTTATAAACCTCGATCATGTCACCCCCCTCAGCTGTCGTTTCACTTCAATTATAATTCTTTTATCATTTTAAATGTTTGTAATTGTTCAAATGTCTTCATGTTTTTATGTTCGCAGCCTGGGGGACCCTGATCAGGTGGGATAAAACGGTGGCATAAAAATGCCTGAAATAAATATTTATATCTCAGTGGAACTCACAAGGACAAGAAATTCCGTAGCAATTCTAGATACAATCCTATTTGGACAAAAATGCACCTTTGGCCCTTGATTCTCACGAAGGGGGTGAAATATCTTGCCAGAGTTTTGAAAAGTGAAGTTCCCCAGCTGGGTAGCAAACTTCAGGTGCCAACAGAAGGTTATGCGTGTAACTCTGTCCCTGATTTTACAGAAGGAAGACATGAAAAAGAGTGAGCAAGCAGGGGGGAGTTCAGAAAGTAAAAAGTGTGGGCCCCCCGGGAGAGGATGGGACTTGAATTAAAGCCTCTCATCTCACACACTAAATAATCCACTTTCAGTCCACTCTCCAACTGGATTTTGCCAGTTCACACAGTCAAATCCAGTTGGAAAGTGCAGTAAAAGTGGATTGAAAGTGGATTATTTAGTGCAGGGGTGTCAAACTCATTTGTTATGAGGGCCGGATCTGACATAGATGAGACCTTATTGGGCCGGGCCACGTGTGTCATAAAATGTAATGCCAGTTAGCGGAGATATAAATTTTAAAAAGGACACAAACACAAAGTTTTTTTTTGACTTGAAATAAAAACATGCCTAAAACATTAGCTCTGTAAGCGGCAAACCTACTTTTGATTCATTGACATTCACCACAGAAATCTCATTCAGAGGTCTGAGTCTAGGACCCAGGTTGAAACGTGGAATGGCCGAGCGATTAAGAGAGTCTGGCGAAGCAAGCTATGATGCAGCAGCAGCCGCAGAACTGGAAGCAGGAGAGGGCCAGTTCCACTGCGGGCCTGATCCGGCCCCCGGGCTGCATGTTTGACACCCCTGACTTAGTGTGTGTGATTGTGGTCTCTTCTTGCCTGGAGTCTCACTATGACCCAGAGCCATGCTGCGCTCCCAGGTCGGTCTTGGAAGAACGCAATGGTTATTCTTCCTAAGGAACAGAACATTCTGTGTGACCCTGTCCAATGCTATAGTCTCTCTGTGTCTTTTAGTGTCCATGAATTCTGAGAGTCAGAAATTGGACTTGGAGGGTTTTTTTGTTTTTAAGTTCAAAAGCATTTTCTTACTGATCACAAAAAAGCCCACTTTCTTGAAATAATAACCCCTTAAAGTACCCGGTCATGCTCAGCCCACCCAGCATAATGTAGCAGTTGTGTTGGACTAAGAGCTGGGAGACCCAGGTTTGAACCCCCACTTACACACTCCGAGCCGAACCTACCTCGCAGGGCTGTTGTGAGGATAAAATGGAAGGTGGCAGAATGACGGAAGCCACTTTGGGCCTCCACTGGGGAGGAAGGTGGGGTATGAATGAAATAAATAATAATAAAAGGTAACAAACAGGGGATAGTTCCCCTCCCAGGATCATTTAACTGTAACAGTGATGCTGAGAAATTCATTGTGCACCGGTGGGACCTTGGATGAGCAAAGCTGGGTAGAGTTTGGAGCATTAATATTAGTGGGTGGAGGGGGCTCCAGCTGCCATTGATTTTGCTTAAAGCAAGATCTTTTTTCTTAATATAAAAACTGTTGGAATATACAAGGTCTATAGTGCACCTATGGGGCTGTGGTGGCTCAGTGGTTAAGACGCTGAGCTGCAGACCGGAAGGTCGGTAGTTCAGCAGTTCGAGACCCGAGTGCCCCGTGATGGAGTGAGCTCCCGGCCCCAGCCCCAGATCCTGCCAACCTAGCAGTTCGAAAGCAAGAAATTGCAAGTAGATAAATAGGTACTGCTTTGGTGGGAAGGTAACAGCGTTCCGTGCGCCTTGCTGTTTAGTCATGCCGGCCACATGACCACGGAAACGTCTTCGGACAGTGCTGGCTCTTCAGCTTGGAAACGGAGATGAGCACCGCCCCCTAGAGTCGGATTTGACTGGCTTTCGAGCAAGGGAAACCTTTACCTATAGTGCACCTACTTGAAGAAGGTCAGAAGAACAGCCTACAGGGGACAGCTGAAGGACTGCTAGTTAGCACAGCTAAAACAGGGACTTCCCACAATTTCAGATTATGTCATTCTTGTCTCCTGATTGGCTCTTTGGAGACTTCCTGCTCCGACTGAGCCCTTCCCCCCTTCGTTCCTGTCTCTCACAGCAGTTAGTCAGTTAGTTAAGCCTCTCTGCCTCTCCTCTGTCCTATCAGGGTTTATTTCTTCTTTAATAAACTGAGTTCTTTTCTTTAAACAGTTGGTGTTCCATTCCGCTGCATTTTGAAACTCTGCCAACAAAAACAAGCTCTTGTTCTGCAGATGGAAACTCTCCTGTCAACGAATCAAAATGGCTGTTTTCAGCACAAAAACCTTCGGTGGGGCCACGTCACAGTTGACAGCACTTATATACAGACAACTCTTGTCAGATCTCAGGAGCTAATCAGGGTCGGTACTTGGAAGGGAGACCACCAAGGAAGACTCTGCAGAGGAAGGCACTGGCAAAACATCTCTGTTTCTCACTTGCTTTGGAGGCCCCTTGCTGGGGTTGCCATAAATTAACAGCCCTTACATACATACAGATCTTGTCAGATCTCAGAAGCTAATCGGGATCGGTCTAGGTTGCCAGCTCCAGGTTGGGAAATACCTGGAGATTTTGGGGGCGGAGCTTGAGAAGGGCGGGGACTTTAATGGGGTACAAGACCATAGAGTCCACCTTCCAAAGCGGCCATTTTCTCCAGGTGAACTGATCTCTGGCGCCTGGAGATCAGTTGTAATCCCAGGAGATCTCCAGCCCCCACCTGGAGGCTGGCAACCCTAGGGTCAGTACTTGAATGGGAGACCACCAAGGAAGGCTCTGCAGAGGACAGCAATGATTCCCACATGCTTTGAAAACCCCTTGCTGGGGTTGCTGTAAGCCGGTTGTGACTTGACGGCACTTATGTACATACAGATCTCGTCAGGACTCGGAAGCGAAGCAGGGTCAGCACTTGGAAGGGAGACCACCAAGGAAGGCTCTGCAGAGGACAGCAATGGCAAACCACCTCTGCTTCTCATATGCTTTGAAAACCCCTTGCTGGTGTTGCTGTAAGTCAGTTGTGACTTGACGGCACTTATGTAGATACAGATCTCATCAGATCTCAGAAGCAAAGCAGGGTCAGCCCTTGGAAGGGAGACCACCAAGGAAGGCTCTGCAGAGGATGGTAATGGGCAACCACCTCCGCTTCTCACTTGCCTTGAAAGCCCCTTGCTGGGGTCGCTGTAAGCCGGTTGTGACTTGACGGCACTTATGTAGATACAGATCTCATCAGATCTCAGAAGCAAAGCAGGGTCAGCCCTTGGAAGGGAGACCACCAAGGAAGGCTCTGCAGAGGAAGGCTGTGGCCAACCACCTCTGCCACTTGCCTTGAAAGCCCCTTGCTGGGCGTTGCCATAAGTTAAGTTGAGTGGCTACATTTGGGGGGCTTCAAAAACCACTGGAATTTTTTTTAAAAAAACCTGCTATAGCTCTGTTGAAGTTCACCTGCTCTCCCGGCATTGATTTTTGACACCCAGAGCCTGTGATCTCAAGCGGCACTTACTTGAGAACATCTGGGGCAGCACGAGCAAGACGGTCACCCTCACTTTGTACGAGAAGGCCATGCCCAAGCCGAGGCCGGCCGCCAGGCTGATGGTCGACACCAGACAGTACCAGAGGTTGTAGCCCTGGACAAAAATGACCAACATAGCGTAGAGTGTGGCGATAGTCATCCCCAGGGCAAAGCCGCCCACGCTGCGTGCCACCTTGCGTCCCATGGTGTCTTCGGACAGCCGAGGGCCCTGCGTCTCCTTTTTCCTTCTCTTCCTCCCCTGCAGCGCAGAGAAACCGGACAGAAAGCCCATGGCTACGGCTGCTCGGAAGGGGCTACCTGGCCCCTGGCCCAGAAACCAGCACAAGGGCCGTATGAAAGAGCGTGCGTTCGAAATCAAAGATGGCTCCTGGCTCCTGGGGTTCTGAAATGTTGGTTTGCTGAGGACTAAACAGAGAGCCCCACCCCACAAAACCCACAGAGTATGGAGGAGTTATGCAGGGTACAGGAGTTTTTTTGGCCAGACTGTGTTTCCTCATTCAAACGCCATGTTCTTTCAAAACCGGGGATTTCGAAAGCCAGTAAAATCCCGTTGTTGCTAAGCCCCACCCAGATTCCGACATGGCCCCACCCTCAGCCACGCCCAGATTCCAACATGGCCCACCCTCAGCCACGCCCAGATTCTGACATGGCCCCACCCTCAGCCACGCCCAGATTCTATCCGACTTTGACCCGACGGAATCTTTCTGGTTCTCCGACGATACTCAGCAAACTGACTGTGTTGAGGCTGAAAGTCAATAGAACAAGCTAGGAATCGGCCTGGACCTATTGGGATACATTTCCTTTTTAAAATGTGTTTTGATATTTTAGGTGGCCAAAAGAAAAAGAAAAAACAATTGCTTCTTGGCATCAGTGCAGCGACCATTCAGTCAACTCGAATGGACTTTTGCTTCCTTGACCTTAATCCACACCGCATTTTCTAAGCCAAACTGGAAGAGAACAAATTCTGAGAGAGAAGGCAGTCCCTGTCACAGCCCCTGATCCAGGCCTTTCTCCTGTTAACTTCTTTTCTGTACCACTTTGGTAGGGCTGCCAGCCTCCAGGTGGGTGCAGAAAGAATCCTCCGTATAAATAAACCTCAAAGACACTAAATATGATACTCACAAATTATTTACGTAATCAGCAATAAAGGTAAAGATTTCCCTTGCTCAAAAGCCAGGCGAATCCGACTCTAGAGGGTGGTGCTCATCTCCGTTTCCAAGCCGAAGAGCCAGCGTTGTCCGGAGACTTCTCCGTGATCATGTGGCCGGCATGACTAAATGCTGAGGCGCACGGAATGCTGTTTCCTTCCCACTGAAGTGGTGCCTATTTATCTACTTGCAATTTCTTGCTTTCAAACTGCTAGTTTGGCAGGAACTGGGGCCAGAGACGGGAGCTAACTCTGTCCCGTGGCACTTGGGTCTCCAACTGCCGAACTACAGACCTTCTGGTCTGCAGCTCAGCATCTTAACCTCTGAGCCACTGCAGCCCCGCAATCAGCAATAACAAACATACAAAACAATTTTCAATCCAAATCTTGAAATTAATCGAAATAAATTGTGCAAATAGGGACAGATCCAAGTTCATGAGTCACGGAACAAAGGATTCAAATGCAAATTACAAATTCAAAAGTCCACTCAGCACACCAATGGTACTTGAGGTGAGTAGAACCCTCTGTTCCTGAAGACTTAAAGGTCTGTTCATATAGCAGCTCTGCAAGCTTAGTTCCAGCTAATGGGGTGAACCGGTGTTGTAGCACCTCGTTTCACCAAAACGTTATTGAGATGGAACTGTGTAACACCTATGAAATACACATACAATTCCAAACGATTTGAACAGTTTAAAAGAACACCCGAATGCTGAAAACTACATACCTTAACAAGATCCAAAATTACTGCATAGTAAAATATTTATGCTAAATCATACAACCATTTGGAAGAACGCAGTGACATCAAATATTTTACTATGCAGCAATTTTGGATCTTGTTAAGTGGTTACAGTTCCATCTCGGAAAAAGTGGGGCGGGCCAAACGGGTTTTGCCAAGCAGGGCTCCTGATCGGCCACTGGAGAGCTGATTGGCTGTGCAGGTTCTTCACAAGTTGCTTTGCAAACTGCTGCCACAACAGCATGAGGATCTTCACCGTATGACTGAAAATAAGATGTGTGTACGCAAGAAACTATTTTAAAACAATATGTTCGTTTTCAAAGGCAGCCTGTTGGACAGAGCTTCTGCCCGAACTGTTGAAGAGTTACTGAAAGAGTTGCACATGATCTCCTTCCCTTAGATTTTGTGGTTGGCTCCCCCAGTTGTGGTGGCCATTTTGAAACTGGCCCCTCCTCTTGTGGCAGCCATTTTGTGATTGCACCCACCATCCAGTGTCAGAGTTCCAAAAGTGCTCGCGGGCTCAAAAAGGTGGGGAACTCCCACTGTAGAATGTGGACTGTGATGTCACAGAGGCCTAGCTCACTGTGAGGCGGCCGTCCTCTGCTGAGGCTATACCAGTTCAGATTGCAGGTGGGGGCTCACATGGAGGGGGGGAATCATCCATGCAAGAAAATCCTGCCCTGTAGAAAACTAGCACCTCAGCGACAATGCAAACGGAGAACACTTCTCCCTGATGAAATAGCTTTCTATGTGCAGGGAACTGGTTTGTATGAGGGAACAAGTAGTCGGGTGCACTGCCCCCTGCGGTCTGAGGTGGTACAGCCTTGCCACTGGTTTGCTGCCTCAATGAGAACTAGGCCAATAAGGCCAGGTTCTGAGCCAGGCCTCACTTCGGCGTTCAAAGTAGCAGGGGGGGATGGGACGCCACCTCTCCAAAGGGAAGTATCAAAGGGTCGGGAAGGGCCGCTGGCGAAAGCCCCCCAATACTGGTGAGTCCCTCACCCTTCCATCCAAGTTTCGGTTAAAACAAATTTTATTAGGATATAACAACAAGTCCAACCTTAAATCATTTCACCTTTCTTAATATACCCCTTTTCAATTTCCCCTCCCTCCCCTGCTTCAGGCTTCCCGCAGCGCTCCCACCCCCACCATGTCTCATTCTCTTGTTCTTTCCCTTCTTAACATTACTTAAAAGGTAAAGGTAAAGGTTCCCTTGCTCGAAAGCCAGTCGAATCCGACTCTAGGGTTGCGGTGCTCATCTCCGTTTCCAAGCCGAAGAGCCAGCGCTGTCCGAAGACGTTTCCGTGGTCATGTGGCCGGCATGACCAAACACCAAGGCGCACGGAACGCTGTTCCCTTCCCACTGAAGCGGTACCTATTTATCTACTTGCAATTTCTTGCTTTCGAACTGCTAGGTTGGCAGGAGCTGGAACTAGAGATGGGAGCTCACTCCATCCTGCGGCACCCGGGTCTTCAACTGCTGAACTACTGACCTTCCACAGCCTGCAGTTCAGCGTCTTAACCACTTGAGCCACCGCAGCTCAACATTACTTACAAATTCACAAATTCTTTTGCTACCTTACTTATAATTTTCAGCCTTATAGGTAACCGATTCAATAACTATTTATTTCCAACACATCTAAAGTCTATTCTTAATCATTATTAAAGCAAAACAGTTTATTTTTAACATCCCAGTGTTTTTCTATATAGTCTTTAAAGTCCTTCCAATCTTCAAAGAACTCCTCATCTTCTTTGTTGTTTAGTTTTCTTGTCATTTTATCCATTTCCGCCATCAAAAGTAACTTTCTTATCCATTCCCATATTTCAGGTACTCTTTCTTGCTTCCCCTTCCATCCAAGTTTCAGAGGGAGATCAAACTCTGTGGGTTGCCAGCTCTGGGAGGAAAATAGCTGGATATTTTTTGGGGGGGGGACTGCGGGAGGAAGGGGTTTGGGGAGGGGAGAGTATATTGCTATAGAGTCTGCCTTCCAAAACCTCCCATTTTCTCCAGGGGAACTGATCTCTGTGGTCTGGAGATCAATTGTGATCGTTGGAGATCTCCAGATCCCACCTGGAGGATGGCAACCGTGGTGTGGGAGAAACAAAGTAGAATTTTCGCTCACAAGACTCCACAGCTTAGAAGGGAGCATTGTGGGTAGGTTTACCAGATCGCCTCCTGGAGATTTGGGGGCGGGGCCTGGGGAGGACAGGGGACCTCAGTGGGGTACAAGGCCATGGAGTCCACCCTCCGAAGCATCCATGTTCTCCAGGGGAACCGATCTCTGGAGGCTGGTGGGAGAAAGGGCCAACGTATGGGAGGGATTTACTTCTTTCCTCATAATTAACGACTTCCTGCGCGTTGATGTAGTTACGGTCAGAATGAAGAGAGAATTACATTCATGGAGGAGAGGTCATAGAATCATACAATCACAGAATGTTAGAGTTGGAAGGGACCTTGCGGGTCATCTAGTCCAACCCCCTCCACTCTGCAGGAGTACAGCCGAAAGAGAGCCCTACAACATACCCAAAAGATGGTCGTCCAGCTTCCACTTGAAAACATCCAGCGAAGGAGCATCCACCACCTCCCGAGGCAGACTGTTCCACATCAGGAACTACTAGAGTTGCCATCCCCCCGATGGGAGCAGACTTCCCCCCGCTTTGGGGGTCCCAATCCGCAATCAGTCAGCTGGCTGGTAGGGGATCCCCACCCCCGAAGAGCCCTGTCGCGCCTGACATGCCCATCGTAATGATGTCACCTGGAGGTGACATCATCGCACAGGGCACATTGCGCAGGGGACACTCTAGCATTTGGTTAAAAACTCTATGGTAGCCAGAAGATCCAGGGACCCAGGCTGGAGCCCTCTGCCAGCAGCCAGGTAAGACCTGGCAAACCTAGGGGCTACTAGCTATGGCAACTAAAAGGAACTTCCATATTCAGAGGCAGTCAACCTCTGAAACCCAGTGCTAGGAAGTAGCACAAGGGGAAGGCTCTGTTAGCCCTCCAGGACGCTGGACTAGATGGTCCCTCACTGGTCTGATCCAGCAGGGCTCTTCTGATGTCCTTATGAGGGGAAGGCATCGGCCTCTCTGCCCTGTTTTTGGCTCGCCAGAGGAATTGGCTGGTCACTGTGTGAGACAGGATGCTGGACTAGATGAACCCTCACTGGTCTGATCCAGCAGGTCTCGTCTTAGGTTCTTATCAGGGGAAGGCCTCGGCCTCTGCCCTGTTGTTGACCCTCCAGAGGAACTGGTTGGCCACTGTGAGATGAGATGCTGGACTAGACAGGATGCTGGACTACATGGATCCTCCCTGGTCTGATCCGGCAGGGCTCATCTTGTGTTCTTATGAGGGGAAGGCCTCGGCCTCCCTGCCCTGTTGTTGGCCCTCAAGAGGAACTGGCTAGCCTCTGTGTGAGATGGGATGCTGGACTAGATGGACCACTGGTCTGACCCAGCAGGGCTCTTCTGATGCTCTTATGAGAGGTACCAGTGTTGTTCAGCATTTTATCTCTTCACAGCTCTCAAACACTTCCTCGGCCTCCTTCTCCCTCAGTTCTGCACCCGTTTCCTCTGGAGCCAGCCAGAGGAATTCAGACTCTCCAAGTTTTTCCTGGGCGCTGGAGTCGGAAGCTTATTTGCTCTGGGTGAGTTGACTTTGTACTGGATTGGCAGGGAGGAGAACGTGGGCCAGATCTGGTTAATTCAAGGGTCCATGGTAAAGTCCCTGCTTTACTGACAGAAGACACCCTGTGAGGTAGGTGGGACTGAGAGAGCTCCTTCAAGAACTGCCCTTGAGAGAACCACTCTGAGAGAACTTGTGACTGACCCAAGGTCACACCAGCAGCTGCATGTGGAGGAGTGGGGAATCAAACCCGGTTCTCCTAGATTAAGAGTCCATGCTCCTAACCACGACACCAAACTGGCTCTCACTACATTATTATTATTATTTGTTTGGAAGTGGGGTAGGGTTGCCAGACCACCTGGTGGAGGCAGGGGTCCCCCGCTGGCAGACCTCAGCGCCCTGCTGCTGATCAGCTGACTGGCAGGGGGGACTTACCTGGAAAAAGAGTGAGGCCCAGTCGACATTGCAGTGACATATCTACACTTCTGCCATGACCTGGCGTTTTTGCCCAAATACCGAAGCGTCGCCCCAACATTGCTGCGTGATGACGTCACTTCCGGGTCACGGCAGAAATGATGTAGATACGTCACTGCAACATCGGCTGGGCCTCCCTCATGCTCCTGGTCAGTCCCCCGCCAGTTACCAGGAGGGACCTGACAACCCTAGAGAGGGGCTGTGGCGCAATGATAGAGCATCTGCTCTGTATGAAGCAGTTCCCTGGCTTGCCCTGACCTGGATATCCCAGGCAAGCCCGATCTCATCAGATCTCGGAAGCTAAGCGGCATCGACTCTGGCAAGTACTTGGATGGGAGACCTCCTTGGGATACCAGCAGTCGGGAGGTGGGGGCAGGCTTTATTTCAGCCACCTCTCTGAATATCCTCCAGATTCCCAGTAGAGGTCAGTCACCAGAAGTCAAAATGAATTCCAGGTGCACACACACTCACATGCACACACGTACATGCACATATGAAAAATACAAAAAATACCAGAAGAAGAAGAAGTCCCTGGTTCAATCCTTGGCATCTCCACTGCTTAGGCACCAGGCATCTGGAAAGAAAGACCATTCTCTGCTTGACAGCCACTTCCTGTCATGGTACACAGTAATGAAGTCAATGGGTCTGTGGTTTGCCTCGGTATAAGCCACCTTCGTATGTTGCTATGAATAGTTAGGTATTTAACATTGCAAATTTCTTCCCAGTCGAACCCACCTATATTGAGTCTATCTAATAAAGGATACCAAGCATGCATTGGACTCATCAAGTCGCATTCCGTTTGAGTTTCTGTGTAAAACGTATTAAAATTCTCTAGTAAAAATAGATCCCAAACCTTATGCACCCAATGTTGTATACTCGGAGGATTGGGTTCTTTCCAATTCTTGGCAATAACTATTTTGGCCGCTTGTATTCTGACTTTTCTATTGGAATTGTTGTTTTGTGCTTAAAATATCAATAAAACTTTATTATTAGAAAAAAAATAAAAATAAAAAAATGAATAGTTAGGTATAGGTATAGTGGTCAAATGGCATATGCGTTCTGGTTTTCGGTTTCCAGCCCTCTCCTGGATCCTGATTTTCCCCATGAGCATCACCGAAGACCACAAGATCCAGCTGATGTATGGCATGGCAGGTGAGAACCGAATCAAGAGGAGAGGCAGGGATGGGAGAGACCCCGGGAGGGCTGGCCGGAGGAGTCGGCAGTGAGCTAAAATAAACCCACAAGGGAGGCTGGTGAAGGAAGGGAGCAGAGTCCCATCAGCCCGCCCGCAGTTCTGACTGCCTCCTTCTTCTAGGTGTGGGTGCTCTGGGATGGGGCACCTCCCCGCATTTCCGCTGTACCAGCCTCCTGGTGGTTCCCAAGTTCATGGGCAAAGAGGGACGGCTCTATGTGCTCACCTACGTGCTGGCCAGCATCTACGATGGTATGAGAAAACACTCCTTTCTCCTTAATTTTTACAGCACCCATTTGAAAACTGTTTATTCCTGTGGCCATCGCTACATACCCCAGCAGGGTAGAATGCCATAGAGTCGGCCTTCGAAAGCAGCCATTTTCTCCAGGGCAACTGGTTTCTGTAACCTGGAGACCAGTTGTAATACCGGGAGATCTCCAGCCACCACCTGGAGACTGGCAACCCTAGTGTAGAGGGAGGGGCCACCGTCTCTCTCCAACAGAAACTGCTCTCCTCTCTGCTCCCGGCAGGCCCCGTGTCCAACATCCGGCACAACCTGGGCGAAGTGGTACGGTCCATCAGCTGCACCGTGGAGCTGCAGATCGAAAACGCCAAGCGCTCCTGGAAGGTGTCAATAAGCCCCCTGCGCAAGGTCCTGACGGACATGGTGGTGAGTCTGGAGGTGGTGCGAGTCAAGCAGAGAGCTCCACGTGGAAGGGAACGGGTTCGAGCGACAGTCACCAGACTGAGGGGCTCGTCCCGTTGAAGGTCTTTGGGGTATTCGGCACAGGGAAACCTGGGACTGGTCGCCGTCCTTCCATTCTCCTACTGAATATTTTAATTTAATTTTATTGACAGTCTGCCTTTTTCACTGAGACTCAGGGTCGATTACGAAATTAGAAAGCGATGCACATTTTTTTAAAAAGGCCTAAGAGACAGCATAAATAATGGAAAATGGGGATGATGAAGAAGAGGAGGAGGAGGAGGAGGAGGAGGA